TATATATATAAATTAATTTTTTTTGACACACTCTCGTTCTGTCACCCAGGTTGCAGTGGTGCAATCTCATCTCACTGCAACCTCTGCCTCCCAGGTTCAAGCAATTCTCCTGTCTCAGCCTCCTAAGTAGCTGGGATTATAGGTGTGCACCACTACCCCCAGCTAATTTTTGTATTTTTAGTAGAGACAGAGTTTAATCATGTTGGGTAGGCTGACCTTGACCTCCTGACCTCAGGTGATCCACTCATCTCGGCCTCCCAGAGTGCTGGGATTACAGGTGTGAGCCACTGTGCCCAGCCTCATATATATATATAGGCTCTATGTTGTCTCTAAAAAACATCAACAAATGTTAATTTTTAGAGACAAGGGCTTGCTCTGTTGCCCAGGCTGGAGTACAGTAATGCAACACAGCTCACTGCAGCCTCAAACTCCTGGGTTCAAGCAAATCTCCTGCCTCAGCCTCCCACAGTTCCGGGATTACAGGCATGAGCCATGGAGCCTGGCCTGACCCATGCGGTATCTTACTCATTCTTAGTTTCTTGTGCCTAGCTCATTAAGTGCTTAATACCATACTGTCTACCTCTTCTGCCTTCCTCAGTGTCATTATGATCCTTGAGTACTCATCTCCACTCAGCTGTATGCTCCTGGAGAAGAGCGACCACTGCTCACCCATTTCAGGATCTCACAGAGTGCCTTGCACATAATAGGTGTTCAATAAATGCAGATGTGGATTGAGTAAATAAATCTTGGATTTCACAGAAACAATAAAGTTTCTTTCTTTCTTTTTTTTTTTGAGACAGAGTCTCGCTCTCTGTCACCGAGGCTGAAGTGCAGTGGTGTGATCTCAGCTCACTGCAATCTCCACCTCCGGGGTTCGAGTGATTCTCATGCATCAGCCTCACAAGTAGCTGGAATTACAGGTGTGTGCCATTACACCCGGCTAATTTTTATATTTTTAGGAGAGACAGGGTTTCACCATGTTGGCCAGGCTGGTCTTGAACTCCTGATCTCAAGTGATCAGCCCACCTCAGCCTCCCAAAGTACTGGGATTATAGGTGTGAGCCACCACACCTGCTTAATTTCATATTTAATAGAAAGCCACAGTAAGCCAGCACTTTAAAATGAAAGTCTGATAGATACATAACTTTTATATTTGATGTGTAAGGGGAAGAAGTCATGAATCTGATGAATGTCATCATTGTCTGGCTGTGTTTTGGACAGCACCTAAAACTGGTCACTCCAATGCCAAGTACATATCAGAACAGTCAGCTCAGAGCATGACACAGGCTTTTGTCCCCATCAGTCGTGAGGTCTGCAGCAAATAATCTATTGCTAATAGCAGTTTAAATATTGTATTGAAGTTCAGGTTAGGCATGGTGGCTCACGACTATAATCCCAGCACTTTGGGAGGCCGAGGTGGAAGGATCGCTTGAGCCCAGGAGCTTGAGACCAGCCTGAGCAACATAGTGTGATCCTATCTCTAAAAAATTAAAATTAGCTGGGCATGGTGGTGCATGCCTGGGGTTCCACCTGCTCCAGAGGCTAAGGTGGGAGGGTAGCTTGAGCCTAGGAGGTCAAGGCTGCAGTGAGCCATGATCGTGCCACTGCATTCAGCCTGGGTGACAGAGCAAGACCCTGTCTCCAAAACATAAGAATAAAAATAAAGGAAGCTTGAGAATGATTCAAGGCTGTCCCTGTCTGATGTCACTAGTTCTCATCTATGATCAACTGTGCCATTGCTGTCAGAACTAAAGGGCTGGGGCATGCTGGGGTGCCCATGGCAGTGAGGCCTCTGCAGGGCACCTGCCACGGCCAGTGGTGGGAAAGCGGTAAGGCCACTGGGCTGGGGGACATTTCCTGCATGTAGGTGTGTGTGTCTACGCACATGCCCACACACACTCGGAAAAGACCACGAGCACCCAGAGGACTCCCTCCTGTCCCATGGAGCACTGTACTTCCGAGGCCTGGATGCATGCCTGGTACATAGCAGATTCTCAACACGTGTAAGTAAACAAACGAATGAATGGAAGCCTGTGGATCTTGGCAGCCATGCCTCCTCACCACATAGGGATATCTTTCCCTCTCATGAGGCCATTCTGAGAGCTGAATTCTCATGAATGCTTTCAAACTAAATTAAAGTAACACTAGATTCTGTGCTTATAGCGCAAGTATGGCTGGCCTGGCCAGAATTTTCCAGTGTCCATGATCATGGTCTGCAGTAGCTGTTATTTTTCACGTTTCCATCACCTTCCTAGCTTACTGTGAGCTCAGGAGGGCGCCGCCGTGTGTCTGTTTGTTGTAATATCACCCAAGGCCTTTGAAAAAAATGTATGGCTGCTGGCCTTGTTTATTATAATCACCTTGCAAATACCATGGGAAATGATTTGTTTAGTTATATTCCTTGGCTTCACCTTTGTTTTCAAGGCGCCACCAATCCCCAGAATGTCTCAAAAAGCTAAGCTAAAGGTTAGTCCTCCTGCTAGAATGGGTGGGGATGTTTCAGCAGATAAAATATACTTAATCAAAATACTGGAGTAAGCAGCTCATGCCTGTAATCTTTACGACTCAGGAGGCCAGGGCAGGAGAATCACTTGAGGCCAGGACTTTGTGACCAGCCTGGACAATGTAGCAAGACCCCATCTCTACAAACAATTTCTAAAATTTGGTTGGCTATGGTGGTGTATGCCTGTAGTCCCAACCACCTGGGAGGCTGAGGTGGGAGGATCACTTGACCCCAGAGGTTTGAGGCTGCAGTGAACTATGATGGTGCCACTGAACTCCAGCCTGGGTAATAGAGTGAGACCCTGAGAAAGAAAGAAGGAGAGAAAGAAAGACAAAAGAAGAAAGAAAGAAAGAAAGAAAGAAAGAAAGAAAGAAAGAAAGAAAGAAAGAAAGAAAGAAAGAAAGAAAGAAAAGAAAGAAAGAGAGAAAGAGAGAAAGAGAGAAAGAGAGAAAGAGAGAAAGAGAGAAAGAGAGAAAGAGGGAAAGAGGGAAAGAGGGAAAGAAAGAAAAGAAAGAGGAAGGAAAGAAGGAAGGGAGGAAGGGAGGAAGAAAAAGAGAGAAAAAAGAGAAAGAACAGAGAGAAAGGAAGGAAGGAAGGAAGGAAAGAGGGAAGGAAGAAAGAAGAAAGGGAAAAAGAGAGGGAGGGAGGGAGGGAAAGGGAAGGAAGAAAGGGGAAGAGGGAGGGAGGGAGGGAAGGAGGGGTGGAGGAAGGAAGGAAAAACAAACATATTTAATCAAAACATATTTGAAGCCAGATGCGGTGGTTCACTCTTTTAATCCAAGCACTTTGGGATGCCAAGGTAGGTGATCACTTAAGGCCAGGAGTTCAAGACCAGCATGGCCAACATGGCAAAACCTCGTCTCTACTAAAAATACAAAAATTACCCAGGTGTGGTGGCATGCACCTGTAATTCCAGCTACTTGGGAGGCTGAGGCAGGAGAATCACTCTAGCCTGAGAGGCAGAGGTTGCAGTGAGCCAAGATCAAGATCACTTCAGCCTGGGTGACAGAGCAAGACTGTGTCTCAAAAACACCCAAAAAACCAACAAGAAAAATTTGAGTTGTAAGACAAAGTGCTCTGGTGAGGAACTCCAGCCCTGGGATTAAAAGAAGGAAACCAGACAGATATTCACTGTAGCCGTAGCCCTCCGTTTTGTGTTTTGTTTTACGGCTTCATTTTTAAATCACTGTGCTGCAAGACTGTGCTTTCAAGAACTAGACCCCACTGGGCTCCATCCTAGGGCAGAGTGATTGTCCCGTGATCACCCAACGTACCGCAGCTGCTGACAGCTCCGAGACTGGTCAGCGGAGAAGGCCAGAACACTGGGACCTCCCCTGGGGGACACACAATGGCATCCCCGTAGTCAGGTTTGGAAAGCTCTTTGATTCCCAACAATTCTGCAGATGGAAAAGGAAAGTGTAATTCCCTCTGCAGGGAGCACCCAACTGGACCTGGTCGAGTCGCTCACGGTTCTTTCCCTAAAAAAGAAACTCAAGCGGCAGGATTATTTTAAATGGTATTTGAGGAAGAGGTGAGGGAGAATAGGACTTAAGGCTTTGTCAGCTCAAGGTACTCCATAATTCACAGTCCATGTGGACTGCTGATTTCAGAACACAGCATCTCAAACTCCATGGCGTGATTTCTGGAAAGAGCCTTGGATGCGTTGAGTCTAGTACTCTCATTGTGCAGATTGCTACCGAAGTCAGCCTTGGGGAGTTGATCTTGGTCCAGGCTGAGTCCCATCTCATGCACCTAACCTCAGCTGCTTGCCTACCAGAAGCAACCTCATCCTGAAGACAGCAAAGAGGGATGTGCTGGGCCCAATCCATCCCGCTAATGATAAAACTCCTCAGCAGACACCGTCCTGGTAGGTGGCCCCGAAAAATCATTCTCATGCGATGAGGTCAGCAAGTGCTGATTGCATTTCTGCAAAAGGCTAGGTTTTGTCTAATTTTGTTGGTTACACAGCTGAGCAAGTTCAGGTATGCCAACCTTGTACCCTCATCCAAGGCCCAGTCGCAAGCTCTCATCAGGCCCTCAGAGAGCCTCCAAGAGGCCTGCATGGCTTCTTGATATTGGCTCTTCATCTTGGATCTGTTCACTCACTGTCAGATTGAGTTAATACGCTGGGGATCAATGGATTTCGGCTCAAATTAACATTTGGAACAAAGCCATCTCTACCCAACATATCAGCGAATAGCAGCCTGGATTAGAGGTTGCTTTGAGCTCAAATCTCTGGGCAAAGAGCCCTGCTGCCACCCTTGGCTTTCCCCAACCCCAGGTTCATTGGAAGTTCATAGGAGCTTTACGCTTATCAAAGATCACCAGTGGGTGAGCGCATAGAGAAAAAAGCTGTATCCAAACAGTGTGCGTCCTCGGCTCTCACACCACAATAACAGTCATCAACACAGAAGACCCCTGTGACCAAATTTGTGGGGGTTTCTCCCCACCATCAAGCAAGAAACACCAGCTGGGTGCCTTCCAATTCCATTCTACCTGGATATCAGAACCCACGGGTTGAGGGCTCAGTCCCCACCGCTGCCCCCAACAGACACCAGTCGAAAATCTGGGCCTCCAGAACTTCTGACCAACTGACCTCCAGTTTGATGACCTGTCTTTGGGTTTGATTAATGTGCTGGAGCAGCTTACAGAGCTTGAGGAAACATTTACTTATCTTTACCAGTTTATTATAAAGGATATTGCAGGCTGGGTGCAGTGCCTCATGCCTGTAATCCCAGCACTTTGGGAGGCCAAGATGAGCAGATCACTTGAAGCCAGGAGCTCAAGACCAGCCTCGCCAACATGGTGAAACCCCATCTCTACTAAAAATACAAAAATTCGCCAGGCACGGTGGTGGGCGCCTGTAATCACAGCTATTCGGGAGGCTGAAGCAGAAGAATCACTTGAACCCAGGATACGGAGGTTGCAGTGAGCTGAGATTGCAACACTGCACTCCAGCCTGGGCGACAGAGGGAAACTGTCTTAAAAATTAATTAATTAATTAATTAAAATAAAAATAAAGGATATGCCAAAGAATGCAGATGAAGGGACGCCCAGGATGAGGTTTGGGGGAAGGGGTGTGGAGCTTCCGTGCCCTCCCTGGGTACCACCCTCTAGGAACCTGCATGGTTCAGCTATGTGGAAGCTCACCAAAGTCTACCCTCTTGGGGTTTTATGGAGGCTTCATCGCATAAGCATGATTGATTAAACCATCAGCTGTGGGTAATCAACTTGACCGTCAGCCCCTCTTTCCTCCCTGGAGGTTTTGGGGAGGGGTGGAGCTGAAAGTCCTAACCTTCTAATCCTGCCTTAGTCTTCCCATTGACCAGCCACGCCCTGAACCTGCCAGACAAAATACAGCATTTTGGAGGTCCCAAAAATTTTAGGAGTCATAGGCAGGAATTGTGGACAAAATCCTATACATATATTCATTATATATATATTTTTTTCCTACATATATATTAGAAGCCTCCGTAAAAACCCAAGAGGATATGATATATGTAAACTTACACCACAGCGAGACTGGCTATTCTGCCAAAGGTGGCACCTTTAAACCTGAGGGGCATCAGTAAGCCCAGCCCCGATACAGCTGCCAGAGCTTTGGAGCCTTATTCAGGGCCTTTGCCCCTGGAGACCCCTGGAAAAAAAAGACAAGCCGTGGGAGCTCAGGAACGTAGCAAGCTCCTGCCTGCTTCTCAGGCCCCACTCCAAGAGAGGCTGTCAGGGTCATGGGCAGGAGAGAGACACTCACCTGGGTCACCGATGTGAACAGGTTGTCCCTGCTCACCCCCTAGGGAGCAGCTGGCGCGTACCAGCCTTTCCAGCTTGTCCTTGGGAATGGGCCTCATTGTAACCACCAGAGGGCAGCAGAAGCCAGCATGGGTAGCACAAGGCACCGTTGTCTGACAAAAAAAAAAAAAAAAAAAAAAAAA